GAAATAATTAAGACTCCTTTACACTACAAAATGGTTCTTATATTTAGAACCGGAGAAATATATTGAAATGAGAGTTTGGGTTATAAGCATTCATGGATAAAAATTAAAATTTCTAGTCCCTCTTCATGCGCCATAATATTTCAATGGGGTAATTTCTCATCAATAAAATTAGAAGAGATGTTGATCAAAGTATATGACCAAGTTAGTTTAGAATTTCTTTTTAAATGGAACATTCAAGTAAAACATACAAAGTTAATTGAGTAACGATAATTCCTCATTATAAAATATAGAATTTTGAGTATGTATTTCTATGCATGGCATGAAAATTAAGGGGAGCCCAATTATTTATAGTTTTTGTAAATCATGTAATTTATTATAACTTCTATTTAATTATGATGATTGTAGATTATTATAATTATTCATAGGTGATGGTGGGCCAAAAAATTATTCTTAATTAATGATCATTGACCTTAATTATTGCTTTAGGACGATCCTATAGAAACCGATGCCCAGAAAAAAAAAAAAAAAAGAGATCCTACAGGAATCAACCCACCCCCAAGTCGTCATATTATAAATAATTGATCCATGAGCTGCCTTTTCAGACACAAATAATCAATTTCTAAGTGTTTTTTTTTTAAAATTACTTGCAACATGCGAAGTGTTTTTTATATAAAAGTTAGATAAGTAATGTGAATATATTAAAAAAATTAATTAAGTTAGTTATTTATAATAAATATGTGTTGATTTTCTTAAGATAAATTTTTTTTAATTATGTACATTATAACTGTTTTTTGATGAAATATGTGTAATTAATAAAGATACTTTAAATAAAAGATTATAAATTTAGAAAATAAATAGATTAATTTCTTATATTTAGAACTAAAATAAATTTATTATTTAGCTCTGATACTTTTTACCCCCGAATAGTACATGAAAATAACCGTTTTGAAATTTACAATTGCGCTGTTTATTAAATAATTTAAAGACTAAATTTTCTATTCGCGCACACTCGCCAATGCGTGCCGCCTCCTCATATTGACATTTCCGAGTTCCGACCATCCTTAATACATAGACAAGATAATTAATTTACATACATTAAAAAATTAATAAATTAGTTATTTATAAAAAAAATTGTATGTTAGTTTTTTTTAAATACCCCTTCTAATTATTTATATCCAAGCATGGTCAAAAAAATTATTTATATCAAAAGCTACCCACATATAGAACAAAGTTCTATTTATATGTACAACTAAAATGAATAATTTTTTTAAGAAAAATTATAATTACCGGAGACAAAATGGATTATCCGTACATTTAAAATTAAAGCGAACTCATCCATTACCAAATATTATGCACAAAATCTTTTTAGGAAAGCTTATGTCTTGGTTTAAATTTTAAGATCGGTTTGATATTCCTTATAAGGGGCTTAAGGGTAATCTTCTTCGTTGAAAAAAATACAAAATATGTAATCTATGACGTGTGATTGCATTTTTTTAATGCCAAATTAAGGTATAAACTATAAAGCAATTGCTAATATTAGACACTGGGGGCAAGGGGTTTGACTCCCATATCCACATTGTGCTAAGTAGGTCATGTGAAAGAGACATGATAGCAAGAATAAGCCATGCACTTTTCAAAACCATTGCCAAATGCGTCACAGTTGGTCAATTTACAATTCATAATTTACACATAATCCATTGTAAAAAAAAGATTATTTTCTTAATTTTCTTAATATCATTTCAAAATATTCATTGACTCAAATTAAAATTGTCCAAGAATTAAAAAAGAGTTTGATTTCTCTATAAAAATTAATTTAGTACTCTTTTAGTCTTTAACGTAAGATCTAATTAACTAATTTGAGTAAATTAAAGATATTATTTAAATTAGTTAAGATGAAATTTTTTTTCAAACACCCTGAGTATCTTCTTTAATTCCCTCTTTTCCTCTCATATTTGATTATTCTTAGAAAAATATCAATAGGATTAATTTTAAAAAAAGTAATAAATAGGTCTTATATATAGAACTAACATTAACTCCCTAATTAGATCCTTTATTTGAGGTTATATTTAATCCTAAATATAAGATTTTAATTTACTTTATCTTTATTATTTTTATCAGAACTTAATTTACTTAACTTATAAGTTGATATATAATCTATTATATATAGATATTTTAAGAAATCATATTACATTTGTCATAATTAACAAATTTATTTGATTTTTTAAAATCCACTCAAATTAATTAAATGATGCTTATATTAAAAATAAGAAGAAATATATTGTCAAATATCCTCTAGTATTTTCTTTACAATTTAATATCTTATTTAGTATGATACTCAACACTATCAATAACAATAACAACAAAACTAGCTTTACCCTATTAAATGAGATAAGCTATACAGACCATACAACACTGTTATGTTTCATTAATGACCAAATTTTTAGATAGATTATTAACCAAAAGATCTCATTTAATAATTTTATTGAGTGTTTTTTTACAGTCTTTCTCTATTTTTTTTTTTAGAGAACCCATACTGTTTTATGAATTCTTCTCACAAGTGCTTTGAATATGGTGTTCTATGAACGTGTTCATACTACAGCTAATGATACTTAACACTATATGTTATATAATATTAAAATCTTATCAAGATTTAAGTCATTTGAGATTGACTCATGTAGCAAGAGGAGGATGAGATACCCAACAAAACTTGGTCAAGTTGATAAAAACTAGTCCATGACTTACCAAATAGTGAGTTCAAATCCTACTACTAATATTAGAGTCTTGTTGGTAGGTGATTTATAATTGTATTTATAAACGCTCTTTAAATATGAAGGCATATTCTTACTCTGATAAGCTCTTGAAATCTAACTCATCTAAATTTTTTAGTGCATTAAAAAAAAGAGTAAAGTGAGATATAGATCGACATCAAAAGTTCAAACCCTTTTAATTTATTTAGAAATTGTTACTCTTTCTATTATGACTATAAGAGCTAAATAACTTATTTATAAGTATTAAAAAAATAAATTAAATTAGTTATCTGTATTGTACTGATATTATACCTTTGATTGAAATCCACATAAACCCACATAATGTGCAATTAATATGAAAAGTTTGGAAACAAATATAAACTTAGAAAATAAATTCGATCAAACTCTTGCATCATAACAATTCCTCCACCACTTCTTGAACTTAGAATTCAAAGATTAAGATTTATCTTATCAAGTCTTATATTATTAAAGCTCATCTTATATAAGATACTATTCTCATCATATTTTATTGGGATAGGGTGCTTACATATCTTGAAAATATCTACAAAGGAGCTTCTAGTACCTGAATGTTTTTTTGGCTCTTATATAATTTGTTTTCATAACAAAAATATATTGGCCGTTGTCCACTATTAAATTTGACTGTTAAACTATACTGTTTGACTAGTATCTTTAGTGGTTAAATTTAACAACAAATAAAAGTTTAAGACAGAAATGTCACAAAATAAAACTTTCAAAACATATTAAGTTCAAAAATCTTTGAGACGTTGAATGCTCCTTCATAGATATTTTTGAGTTATTTAAGCATATTTCCCAACTTTATTTTATTAACCTATCCCTTTGAGCTCTATAAAGAGATAAAACTCCCCAACATTTTAAAACCCTATTAATGTGGGTATATTATTTAATTCGTTTCCTTTTGACTAATTGTTAATTGTAAATATTATTTTTTGTGGATATTAGTGGCTTCCTAAGATTCAAATAATCTAATTCTAATTATAACTTTCATGAATCTGTGTCTGATACATCGATAATGTTCTAAATGTATATCATTATATTAACATAAATATAATATAATTCACATCTTCCTATTTAATGATTACAGAGTTATAAATTGAGATTAATCTCAAAATCTTATAAGCACAATTTGAATCAAAATAAATGAAAAAACTTTTCTTGTTTCTCCTCTCTTAAATTTTCTTTGCTCTGTTTCCCTATATTTTTATTAGTTTCACAACATTTTTATTAGGGAAAAAGACAGTAAAATACCCTCAAAATTACTAAATGACAAATTAGGGTAGGTAAATTTCAAAATCCCAATTCAGACCCCAGGTACGATTTTGGAATTTTCAAATCTTGTAAAATGACAATATTGTCCTTACTGTTGGTGATTACTTCCATATAGCTATTGACTACTCTGTTTTAACTATTGACAACTTTTATTTTCAAAGTTCCAATGAATATTTTTATATAGCTATTGACTACACAAAAGTAGTAAATCGTATTACTGGAGTAGTCAATAGCTTAGCAAGAGTAGTCATCAGAATTTAAAAATAAATATAGTCAATAGCTAAAAAAGAGTAGTCAACACATAAGCAAGAGTAGTCATTAGAATTTAAAAATAAATGTAGTCAATAGCTAAAAAAGAGTAGTAACACATAAGCAGAGTAAGTCATTAAAGTTCAAAAATAAATGTAGTCAATGGCTAAAAAAGAATATTCAATATATAAGAAAGAATAGTCATCGGAGCTCCGACAACCGGTCACCGGAACTCTGATGACCAGTCACCGGAGCTCCGGTGGTTAGTTCGTCGGCAGGGTCGCCGGCGTCGGAGCTCCGGCGACCGGAATTGCTGATGTGCAGTATTTAAAAAAAATAAAAAAAAAAAGAGCATTTGTGTAATTTTATAAGATTCCTGAGGTCTGAATTGATTTTAAAATTTACCTATCTTAATTTATCATTTAATAATTTTAAAGATATTTTACGGTCTTTTTTTTTTTTATTATCATTATTGTCCAATTGTTCAATTATTTGACACATTTTGCTGGCAAAATGTATGTTATTTGACACCTTTTGTTTGTGCCTATGTATATATTGATCATTTTCTGCTGTCATCCAATCACAACGTACGGCCGCATTCATATTTCTGACAAGCTTGAGGGCAATTTGGACATTTCAATACGTCAAACCCCTGGTTTTCTCAGAACCCTCTAGATGGCGACGTACGGTGCGGCGTCGTCCTTCTCGGACCAGCGCTTAGCCTAGTTGATCTCTATTGTCTTGCAGAGAGCAGAGAAAGAGAAAAAGAGATTCAGACTTTTAGATATTTGAAGATTCCAAATTCCGCTGATTTGTTTTTCCCCCCTCTTCCCGCGAATTTTTGTTCGCTAATCTCTGAATTGACGTTTTTCCTGAATCATACACGGCCGATTGGAATTGCGATTCTCCGGTGAAACTAACCTTACTGGCATGGCTGGAACCTTGACGCCAGAGAAGAGCCCCCTGCTAGAGCCGACGAGCTCGAGGTCGGTGACGGAGACGGTGAATGGTTCGCATAAATTCGTGATTCAAGGGTATTCGTTAGCGAAGGGGATGGGAGTTGGAAAGTACATTGGCAGCGATTTGTTCACGGTCGGAGGGCATCAGTGGGCAATTTACTTCTACCCCGATGGTAAGAATCCTGAGGATAATTCAGCCTACGTTTCTGTTTTCATCGCCTTGGCAAGCGATGGTACGGATGTGAGGGCTCTGTTTGAACTCACGCTTTTGGATCAGAGTGGGCAAGGAAAGCATAAGGTTCATAGCCATTTCGATCGGTCACTCGAGAGCGGGCCATATACACTAAAGTATAAGGGTAGCATGTGGTAGGGTTTCGTCGCCCTTCTTGTTCTTTGTACTGTCATTAGTTTTATTTAGGTTTCAATTTGCTAGTATTATTTTTAAATCTTTGTCCTGAAGGGTTTTTCAATGTTGAGCTGCATAGGGAATTTGCAGCATGTGGGATGAAGCAGTGCCCTAATGTTTAAACTCTTCAAAAACTACCATTTTGGATGATAATGTCGGAATTTTATTCTTACAAAAAAATTAGCCACATGAATGCTAGGATCATTGAAATTGTAATCTGTCTCATGATATGATTGACTGATTGGGAAAACCATTCTCCTGCTTACTATTTTCATGATAGAGTTACTTAATTTACTATGCTTCTTAATATCGTGCTTGTTTCTTTCCTGTGACATTTTTATTTAACTTGAATTTATTCGATGCTGTCATACTCCTCGGTCCTAAGTATAGGACCCATTTCGTAATGTAATTCACACTACAAAATGAGTCTTATATTTAGGACGGGAGGAGTATTACAATATCACATATAACATAATGTATGTTGGACTTTCAGGGAGTGGATTTCAATTATGAATGAATCAATGAAATGTCTTGCAGAAAGATGTTTGCGTGTTATACCTTAGGATAATGTGAATTCATATCTAATCATCTACAAGAAATTAGATTGGTAGCTTGAAGAATTTTACGCATGTTGTTTATAAAACTGTGTGCATGACAACATAGCATAGATATTAATCACATTATTCAGTTCCAGTCGATGTCAATGTTACCTACCTAGGTCAGTCCTCTTACCTACAAATCGTGTGCCAAATCACCAGAAGCGGGATCTCCTTACCACATTCATGAAACAATGACCTTTGTGTGTATTGGCTCCTTATTTTGAAATGACTGCGTGTGTGGCTACACACACACACACAGAGACTTATTTATTTATTTCAATTCTGAAAGACTTGAACTTGGTAGGTGAATTCCTGGAGAGAGACTGGGCTAAAGCTGTCTAAAGTGTTTCTTTAACCCTGCTTTCCTTTCCTTTGTCCTTCTGAATCTGTAAGAAGTTGTGGGCAAAACAAAATTCACACCTTCTGGTTTGTCAAGGTTTTTCTCTCTAATTGGACATTTCATAGTCTACTCTATGTGAATGAAGCTTAAACAGTTTTAGGGGAAAATTGGCCAAGGTTATCAAATATCTAACTGTCACAATTTTTTCCTTATAAATTGGATGCAAAAATCACGTTAATGTGCAGAATAGAGTGCCTTTATGTTGAACTATAAATTATCTATTGATATAGATTATGGATGATGTTAATGTGTTAATGGTTTTAATTTAATTAACTCAATATCTGTAGATATAGATTATAGATGATGTTAATGTGTTAATGGTTTTAATTTAATTAACTCAATATTTAAGAATAAAGTAATCTACTTAATTTGAAAGCACGTTCGTGATAGACAGATCCAAGAGCTATATTCAGAGTAATTCGGTGATACATTGCGTTCATTTCTTGTGTTAGTACTTGTTTGGTTAAGCGGTGAGAGCTCAAATAAGCCCATTCGAATCAAAACAAGTGATTATGAAGTGTGTTTATTCTGTTTGTATAATTTTTATGAAATCCTGATGAATCGTGATTTCACTCTTTTACCATACTTTTACGATAAATACCAAGGAGTAGCATATGCGCTTGAAGAATTTCGATCAATTTTTATCAGCTGAATTTTCTCTAATTTACCCTCACACACTCCTTTGAAAATCTCTCCCCAAATGATTGTATTTAATAATATTTATTAAGTTCATGCTTCTTTGATAATTATACATCTATAAGTGATTTTAATGAATGAAAACCAAACATAATCACAATTATTAAAGTCACTTATTAAAAAAAACAATCCAAACAGAAATTACGATTAACCGACATCACTTATAGCTAGAGTCACTTATAAAATTTACGATGATCTAAAATTATAGTTGTACACTGCTAATCTAAACAGGCACTTGTCTTATTGCTCTTCTATCATGCGTATATTCATATTTAATGTGAATCTTGTGCTTAGATTGTTTTATAGTCATAGGCTATTGTTAATTATCTTTTATCTTCCTCTCTTGGAAACAAACTTTGATATTTTATATTTAGCATGTTAAGTTGTAACATGTCTTAGTTTTTTTTTTTTTTTTCCTGAATTATGATTAATGGACTTTATATGTACCTTCTAGTTAATACTACCCCCATTTTCAAATATATGACACTTGTTGGGGTGCTTTAGTGGTCCAAAATATGAGACACTTGAATCTTTTATCCTGAAATGTCCCTCATTAAATAAAGCATGAGGAAAAAATATCGGATTTATAAGAAGAATTGTCAGCCATTGATTGAGGGAAAATTTGGAAGCAAATTATGTGTTGCTACGAATTTAAGTGGCCTAATTTTATTAATCCATGTGAGGTAGGTATTAAATATTTGAGATTGGAGGTTGTATTTTCTCAATTAAAATTTATAAATGTTGATGTTAGCCTAAGTGAACTTTAATTTAAATTGCATTTTACTGAGTTCATCCATTTTGACTTACTGCTTACTGGCCAAAGTCCCATGCTGCTCACCAGATTGAAGTGCATGCTGATCTATTTGTGCATGTGATTGTCCAAACAAAAGAAGGCCAAAAAAAATGAACTATTTGCAAGTGAATGCTAGAGCCTAGAGGGTAATTTCTGCAAGCAGTTAGATATGCTAGAATATAGTGATTGCTAGATCACTGACAATGATGAATTTAGTGTGTATCCTTTGTTATTTCTTATGGCATCTATTTTCTTTTCAGATAATGGATATTGTCCGAACCTGAAAAATGCCCTTCTTCATTGTCATTTGTGTGATTTTGATCTTGTTTATCTGTGCTTGTAGGGGATACAAGCGCTTTTTCAGACGGTCTTTGCTTGAAAGCTCTGATTATCTGAAGGATGATTGCCTGAAATTCAACTGTACAGTTGGAGTTGTAGTCTCAGCTGTAGATTGTCCTCGACTTCACTCAGTTAAGGTTCCAGAATCTGACATTGGAGCTCACTTTGGCATGCTATTGGAAAGTATGGAGGGTTCAGATATTACTTTTAATGTGGCTGGGGAAAAGTTTGCTGCTCATAAGTTGGTGTTGGCTGCTAGATCCCCAAAATTTCGCCTTGAATTATTTGGAGGTGTAGATGAGGATGAAGAGGAAATTACCGTGACAGATTTAGAACCTAAGGTTTTTAAGGTAGAAATTCATCATATTTGTAATTTGCTTCCCTTGAACGTTAACCTCACTGTCCAGTTAGGTTTAACATTTGGATGGCTGCCTGTGTTCTACCCCTTTTTTTATTTTTAATGGTGATTTGCGGTCCCAAACTTTCTCTTACTTGGACAGGCCATGCTGCACTTTATCTATCGAGATACCCTTACAGATGAGGTGGATGTGATCCCGTCAACCTCATCTAGTGAATCCTCTGTATCTGAGACATTATCAGGAAAATTGTTAGCTGCAGCGGACAAGTATGGCTTGGAGAGGCTAAAGTTGATGTGTGAATCTCGTATCTGCAAAGACATCTGTGTAAATTCTGTTGCTGACATATTAACCTGGGCTGACCGATGCCATGCAAAAGAGTTAAAAGATGTTTGCTTAAAATTTGCTGCGCAGAATCTAGCAGGTATATTTAGCTAGCATTGCTTGCTTCACTTGCTATGAAATGGGATGGGAAACAACCATGGGAAAAGTAAAATGCATTTTAAGTTTTTGTTGAACACGAAGCTCTATGATGTGCTTTTTTTTTTTTTTAAGAGTGCTTTGGTTTAAAATTTCCATATAGGGTAAAGGTATCATAATATAGTTATTAAGACATCAAAACAATGTTCTTGAATCTCTAAATCTGCTAGAAGAATGCCTGTAGTGCAGGAAGCATGTTGTTTTTAGATTCTAGTATAGAACTATGGGAAAATTTGTTTTACTTTGTCCAACTTTCGTACTTTTTTTTTTGGGGGGGCTAGTTTTGCATCCTCAGCATTTTTTGTTTGGACCTGCTGCTGCAGCTGTGATGAGGTCAGATGGATTTCAGTCCATGAAAGAAAAATGCCCTTGGCTACAGTCGGAGATGTTGATGACAATTGCAGGGTGTGAGAATGATTACTGCAGTGCTGGGGGGAAATCTCGGAGTGTGTGGGCCCAACTTTCTGATGGTGGTGATTCAGATGGCAGGAGGGTCAGGCAGAGAACCTGATATCTCATGTCAGGCTTTACTCTGATTATCATGTGAATGTTGGCGGTAAAACCAAGAAAATATGAAAGAAAATGATGATGGAGTGGGAAGGCCCTCTTCTGGTCAACTTTTCATTTTGCCCTACTTCAATGGAACCTGTTCATTTTAAAGAGAAGTTAAAGTAGTTGATATTATGCGGTTTTTTTAGTGGTGAAAAGAAGTTACTAGGCTGTTTAGGATGATAGGTTATTGTACTGTGTATAAAGATAGTTAATTTGCAGCGATTATTATTTGGGATGCCCTGACATGAAACTCATAAAGTGTTTTTGACACGATATTTCAAGTCATGCTCATGCGAGGCCGTTGTGGAATTGTATGTTCTCTTGTGCACGAGGCATGCAGTGTGTCTGTGCCGGTGAACATCATGTCTCTATCTTGTTCATCCAACGGCTCACGAGCACACATCTTCAAATGTGCTGCAAGTTGAAGATTCAACCTGAATCGTGCTGTTGGTCAACCTAAAATGAAAGGAAAATCGGGCAAATCTTCGATGCAGCTAGAGCAAGAAGAAGGTGTGAATGAATTTTGGATCCTTTAATTATTGAAGTGAGGAGAAATAGTGTGTGGGACTCACATGAAACACACTATGACAGGTGAGCCGAATCTTTTGCTCTCTCTTTTTAATGGAGCAATTAAGCAATTAAGGGAATCCTAAACCTGACTTGTACTGCATCTTATTGTCAAGATGTGGATGATGATAGAAGCTGATTCTTATTTTATATATGCCAGTTTTGTAATACAAGATTTGGCATATAGGTTGTTATTACTGGGCTGAAATGGGCAGTGCGCTGGAGTTTTGAACATGGGACGTATCTTTTTGCTGCAGCCCATTTTCTTTGCTGTTCCTAGGAAGGACCAGAAAGTGATTGTGTGCAGTTTCATTTCTCATGGCTGTACAGGACTCATTTTGCGATTATCATGTATGTTGTATGTGATTTGGAAAAGTGTAATGCAAGTGTTGAAATCTAGAGGTAGCAGAGTGAAAATAGTATCCTTTTTGGGCTCTTTTTTCCTTTTTAATATATACAATTATCTGATATTCAATACGGTCATGTTAAATTTGAGTATTATAAAGTTAAAGCAAGGTTTCATTTGTTTTAAGTTTAAAAAATATCTTCAATCCTTTCATTCTAACACTATTGGGATAGGAAGACAGAGTAAGGAATTAAAATAAAATTTTGTATGAAGTTAAATGACTTGGTGATTTTGTGATGTTATCCAATTCTTTATTTTTTTGTATGCTTTGTTTTATTCCTACTTTTTTAAACTATGGTTTGAAAAAGCATACTTGTTATACGCACAAATATGAGGAAATATGTGCAAAAACGAGTAAAATTAATGCTTTAAAGAGCCACACTTAAAGTCGGTCAGAAAAAGAAACACAATGACACGAAGCATAGCCCATTGATTCCTGGGTCGTGATTATTTTGGATTTATGCTCTTTTTGATTTGTTCGTATCAGTTGGATATAACGAATTGATTCTATCCTTTAACAAAAATTTAAGGTCTACTTGTGGTGAGGCTCTAAATGGTTTGACTTGGGACATAAGTTAAGTAGTGAGCAAGCACTAGTTTCTTGGTCCCCAAGGAATTAGAAACGAGTGGTTCGCTATATATATAAAATCCCAAATCCTAATAACAACGTTGTCCGATTCAGAAAGAAATTGCAGTATTGTCTCAGTTCATCACTCAAAATCGTTTTTCATGTGCTGAAGAAGGAATCATGGAATATTGCGATCACTGCAGAATATTTTGCATATCAAGAGATGAATCTGGCCCCCATGAATCCAGGTACGTAATGTTTTCTCTTATTTTTCTCTTTAGCACTTTATTTCAGAGTAAAATACATGAACTATCCTTATATTTTACCTAAATTGTAAAAATATTCTTCCTATTTTGAAAACAGATACACCTTAAAATTTAAAATTAAATGTATGTTACAAACTTTTCCCGTCCACCAAAACTATTAATTGATTATTAAGTTTGACTCTTAAACTTTTGTTTTAATCAAAATACCTTTTTTTCAACACAAGAATTATTTAAACATTTTCAAACACATGGATTGAAGTTTAAAATTAAGAGAATATTAACGAATAGATAGAGTTTTCTGAATCTTTTGATTTTATAAATTAATTTGCAGGTCTTGTTCGATTTGTGGAAAGGTTTTGAGCGACAAGTCGAGCAGAAGGTCAAAAAGAAACAAGAGACAAAGAAAGGTGGATTGTTATACAAATAAAGAGAATGACAAAGTTATTCTTTGTGCTCCTAAATGACTAATGTGATGCGAAAAATTGTAAATAATACAATTATTGATTTCGCATTTAAACAATTTAAATTGAAGTTTATTATGCTAGATTGATTAAACTTCGATAGATTCATTTTGTCCATATTCACCATGAATTTCCAATATTTTGTTATTCCTATTTAAAACATTCTTGAAACTTGATGATAAAATTTAGTCATCAGGGATGATAATAATTTTTTTAAACAAAATATCATTTTTATTTATATGTGATTTGCCATCAAGATTGAAATCAATTATAAACATGTTTCACATAAGTCGAAACAAAACTCCTCTCATATACTTACCTCGTATTAAGTAAATCATAATTGAAAAACTACTTATAAGCTATTCTAAACGAGACCGAAACAAACATAAATTGAAGAAGCAAAAAGAACCTAAGATAGAAATTCTTGTATGAACCTGGTGTGCCACCTCATTTGTGGTCTAACCAACCACAACCCAACAACTCAGCAGAACTTTAATCTGATTTGGCACATTTGGCACATCCTAGGTGTTCTCTTTCTCTTTCCTCTTCTATGCAACCCTTTCTTCTCCTCACTTCATAGCTCGGTTCCTAGTGTTTCCCTTTCCATTCTCCCTTTCAGTTCTAGTGGGTAGGAGTCTGTCCCAATTGAGCTTTGAGTTTGCACGTCACATATTACTTGGAAGTCCTGAGGAGTTTAGCAGAAAAATATTTCAGTATAGAATGAAAATCACATTGATGCGCAAATGTTAGCGAAGATCCATGGTTATTTCCGATGTTGCAGGTTTCTGCAATGGATTTGGTTAGTTGCCATTAGGAAGGATTTTAGGTTTGGAGACACGATTTGGGGTCTATGAAATCTTGACAGCTTTTATAAAAGGTTGTATGTATAACGATAACCATTCAAGCATCAAGTTGCAGCCACTGTAGTTTGCACCCGGCTATGTGTGCTTTTTTGAAGATGCCATATGCACATGCACACTTCCATTGGTCATTCCTTGTTCTTACTGTGGTTGAATAAGCTTATTAACCTTGTTATCTAAAAGGTCTCTAGCTAGGATTTACTACTTAAGCAATATATATTTGGGGTTCTTAATTTGTTATATGTGAGCGACTAGTGCTGATCTGAAGTGATCCTGTTTTACTGGCAGCATGTCCTTTGGGTTAATTTTGCTGGATACAATTTAAGATTATTGTACTGAGTCGGTGTAACAATATTGCTTATATAAAATCCTGATATAGTTTGCTCTAGGTGTATGCAAAGATTTCCAAGCATATGAATCTTTTATCCCCTGCTTACTGCAAATATTACTCTGCTTCGTTTTTCTATTAAATTCTGCAAATATTATTTTGTTTCATTTTTGTACTAAAACTTGTTGAAGCCAGCATCCAGTGGCATCAAGTAAAGGTAATATTGGTGGAGTTATGAAAAGTCGTGAAGGAGATTCTTTTGGACATGAGGAGCAAGTCCCAAGCATGTATGAATACAAACATGGAAATCTTGTTTTGGAAAATTACTTATTTGACAAAGAGAAATAAAGGGGAATTAAAGAGCGAGAGGAGAAAAGATTAAAGAGCAAGGTATGGGTATTGAAGAGATAGAGAAGAGGATTTCAGGGCAAGATATGAATTTGTCAAATAAAGATAAGACAATTTTAGAGAAAAAGAAGGCAATACAAGGCGTCATGTTACCTTTGTTAATTGTATTCATGTAATAGTCTGTGGCTTTAGACTAAGAAGCATGATATTTTGAAGCTGTTTTGTACTTTGAAGTATGATGCTTTCATTCTGTCAAATATGATTTTGTAATTCGATGCTTTCAAAGTATGGTGTAATGCCCAATGAGGCAGAGACAACTATCATCAATAAAGATGTGTTTCGTGAATATGATTTTGTGCAACATCCAAAATACATAATTTGAGTACATGACAACAGATACATAATGCTATCTAAATATGATTCCATGTTAAAATTGTCACATTCACTACGATATATTGACTATTTAAGCTACTCGAATTAGCACAGATGTAACATAATTGATAGCAAGTGCAGGGGAAAAAAATCAATCTCATGTAGATTACAAGCTAAAATAAGCATGTTTTTCCAAGTGAAACACTCACAAGCTAAAATACAAAGACACGTAAGTACAAACTATACAATCCTCACAATAAAGCATCCAAAAGTAACTGCACTACTACAATCTCAACTCAACACTCTGTACCCAACCTTGAAATGTTAGAGTTGGTTTTGCATCATGATAAATTTTTACAATTGTCAATCAGTAAGACAATATTTTCATCAGCTCCCAGCTGGGTTTAAACTTTTCCATTGGCTGTTACAGTAGGACTCATCCTCCTCTTCCTCTCCTTCAAGCTAGAACATGAAACGAAGCTTGGAAAGCAACCCTGCATCGATTTCATTGAATTCTATTTAATTGACATAGTATCCTTATTGAGTCAAAAAAATATTTCCTTTTTGCTACCTGTATAAACTATAAAGGAAAAGCTCCAAGTTATAACAATATGCTTACAAGAGCATCGCATGTAATTCAAAACACTTGTCAAATTAATTCAACATAAACAGTAATTTTAAAAAAAAAAAAAAGAATAAACCAATGTCACTCTTTTTTGAACTGAAAATCAATGCGATTTAATAAGTGACAAGCTTGCTGCTGATTTAGATCCATACAAATGACTTTGAATTTCAAAGACTTCACATAGTCACTTCAGTTGTATGGTTTGAAGGGAAGGACTTGCTATTAATTTAATTCACACTGACAAGTTATGATGAATGCATTAATTAAATGGACGCCACCAGCACAGTTTTATTCTCATCTGTGTCAATACAGAGCAAGCTTTTGGAGCCAATAAATATCTTCCATGTAGCTCACAGAAACTGAAAGCTCTTGCTCTCTTCTCTAACGATAGAAATATGAGGAAAGAATAAGGTTACAGCAACGCAGATTAGTGTTATTCCGATATCATGATGACTAATTTTTTCTTCTTCTGAACTTAATTCAGGGAAGAATCAATAATAACCAAGGAATAGATAAAATCATTGTCTGATGCAGCAATAATCGTTTGTTTGAAGTGCTTAAACAAATTTTAATTTGTCACTCTTTCCCTTGTATAATTCTACGACCTCTAGTTTTTTTTAAACAAAACGAAGGACCAAGTAAAACAAGATCCTATATGGACAGCCTCGAACAACACTATAATCACATTTTCCCCCTTCGTAGACGAATCAGTACATATATCAAGACCGTTCGAGATATCAAAACTTGTAATAATCGTCCCGTCTGGGCGTCGATGGAGATCAAGTGTTTGAAGATGTCGTCGGCAGCTCTAAACCTTCTTCGCCCAATAACAAATCTAAAGAAGACGCAACAAAAGACGTGATAGATGAGGAAGAATACATACCAAATGCCGTGGGAAAAACGTGCACCCCCAGCGAAATTGAAATCGAACCTAAAATTGAAATCGACGATGCCACAAAGCTACGAACTCTCTACCGGCGACGATACGAACTCCCGCCAGAGAAGGAGCTGCGAGGCTGGGTTAGGGACTTCAGGCACACACGCTGCTTCGACGGGCTCAAATTAAGTGGTTTATTTTTTTAAAATAAAATTTGAATTGCTCAAGGAGCAGGTGAGTCATCAGACAGCTAGGATTCATGATTCTGAGTTGTTGGCTTGTGGTTGGTCAGACTTCAAATGAGGTGGCAGACCAGGTTCATACAAGAATTTCTCATGTTTCCTATGCTAAAGTTGTTAATACTAAAGTTTAGTATAAGAAATTAACACTTATAACTTAGGAAATACGAAT